CTTCCCCTGGGGACGGACGAAGATGTTCTTGCAAGCGCTCTGACGTTGTTGTATTCACTTCTTTTTAGGTAACGGGTCAAAGTTTCGGAAAGCCGCAGGTTGACGGGGATTCAGTATGGCCACCGTCATTCATAGGTAGCTAGTTGATGCTCCACATTAAACTATTTATGATTTTAGTCTTCTTTTAGAGATGTATTTCATTGTGGAGGTTGAGTGCCTTAGTACCTTATTGTTTTAATTGACTCTTGTGTTTAGAGATATATTACTCTTATTTCAGCTTGTCAAATGTACTTTTTTTTTCTTCTATTGGAACATAATAATTAATACTGATAGATATCTCTTCTCTACATTATGTTCCTTGTATTCTCATCTTTGTTATATCTGCTTGTACCCTCACTATTCTGTTGTTGATATCTGCTAGAGTGATAGTAATCGTGATAGTGAAATATGTTTATGCACAGTGTTGGGTGCATGACAGGTTTGACATATCTGGGTTCGGTTTGGACTACAGCCATGTGTGAAACCAGGGACGTCACACTATAGTAGCATTTTTGTAGCAGTTGTGGTAAAGGGCCAAATAGAATGAAACTTGAAATTTTAGGGGCTTATTTGGTGGGAATGATGGTTTAAGGGCATTATAGAAAAGTAAGGTATAGTTTAGGGGCTCATTAAACTTTGAGCTACACAAAATAATAATAATTATAATAATAGTAGTAGTAGTGGTGGTGGTGGTGGTGGTGGTGGTGGTGGTGGTGGTGGTAGTTGGTGGGTGGTGTACAGTTAGGCAGTTAGCAGTTAGCAGTTATAGTAGTAGTAGTAGTGGTGGTGGTGGTGGTGGTGGTGGTGGTGGTGTAGTTGGTAGTGGTAGTAGTGGTCGTAGTAGTAGTAGTAGTGGTCGTGGTAGTGGTAGTGATCGTTTTGTGGTGTGTAGTAATTATAAGTAATTATAAATAATTATAATAATAATAATTATTATTATATTATATTATTCATTATATTGAATTATTATTATTATTATTATTATTATTATTATTATTATTATTATACAAGCTACAGCAAAATAAACTATTACTTATTAGGGTCTACCCGAGATGGTAAGCAGCCTATGATTGGTACTTCAAGGTCTCAGGTTCGATTCTTCTAGTGAACACATATACAAATTTAATTTTCTAGAATACATGTGCATTGGGCGGTGCTCCTTACCATGCCAGGGGGTTTGCTACCCATGATCCGAAATCATGGGGGCAATTCCCTCGGCAAACCAAATAGTAATAATAATATAATAATAATACTTATCTTGAGAGCCTTCTATATATAAACTATATATGAAAAAAATATAAAATTTGAACATGTCAATATATTTTCAAAAGTTGGCACTTTCATACATTATTACCATTAATTTTTTTTTCTAGATTTTTTAGGATGGAGAAGATGTTTGGATTTGGGGGATCTTCTCTTGATTTTAAAATTAGGGCCTCTTCTCTTGATTTTTTTTCTAGATTTCTAGATTTTTCTAAATTTTTAGGATGGAGAAGATGTTTGGAATCCACCGGAATGCATTGGTGACGGGGTATAAATGATGTCTGAAGGTTGTAAGTATACAACCAATCAAGTTATAGTATAAAAAGTTATCGATCCCACGAGGAAGGTATTTATAACAGATAATTAGTATTGGTTCTTATGTTGTGTGCGTGACAATTAGGGGTGATGATTGAGTATGATTGTGAAGAGATATGATGAGTGTTATGAATATATGCAAAACAATAAAATAAAATTGAGAGGAGAGAAAGGAATCAAAGAAAATAAGAGGAAAAAAAATAATGAAAAATCAAGAATAAAAAGAAAATTCAAGAAAGTAAAGATGAATGATTCAATTAAAGATATGAGGAATCTAGAATTGAATCCACTAGCTAATTTCAAATATAAATTATGAATCATCTATTTTTATCACATTTTACTTTAGTTTATTAAGATAGACTATCAAACCATTTAAGGAAAGTATAACCTATCCAGTTATCATCTAAGCAAAGTTATTATTCATGAAAAGGAAAACAACTAGATAGTTATTCTAGAATTCATAAGTATAACCTATCAAACCAGTCAAGATAAGTATAGATCATCAAATTCTTCTTCTACTAATTAGTTCTCTAGTCGATCTTGAAAAGACCCTGAAGTATGCCAAAGATTCATGTGTTGTTCTCGAAGGCGTATTTCTTTTATCATGATTTTTTATCTCGCCTAGAACAAATAAATCACAATACTTATAGGATTTTTGGCAAACCTTCAGCCATCAACGAATTTCATGTGCCTTTACTAATTATCATTTGAATCGGACTAGCATGTGAATTATTTAAATCTGTTTCACATGTAACATTACGCTAAAAGAATAAATTCTTTTAGTCTTGATGCTATGATATTAAATACATAGACTTATGTCATTTTCACGGGAAAAGACTAACCGATAACGTATTTTAGGTGTAGACTTATCTCTAATTAGGGATCGAGATAAAGTCCTCTAGACATGGATTCTGATGTACTTTTCGTGGTAAAAGACTAACCGGTAACGTGCGCTAGACGTAGACTTATCTCTAATTAGGGATCGAGATAAAGTCCCCCGGACATGAATTCTGGTGTCCTTTTTGTAACAAAAGACTAACCGGCAACACGTGTTAGGCGTAGAATTATCTCTAATTAGGTATTGAGATAAAGTCCCACATGCATGTAAGGTACCAATTTTGGTGATATTAATAACAACCTGCTACGATATTGAATATGCAGGCTTTGCTATTTTCACGGAAATGCGCTACCTGGCAGCATGTGTTAAACGCAAGCTTATCTCTTTTTAGGGATCGGGATAAAGTCTCCTATGCATGAAAAGCATAGATTTCGGATGTTGCAAGATTGTGCCTTCTCTTGGGGCAAAGACGAACCCGGTGCTGGAGAGGAAGAATTTTATATTCTATCTCCTACTTGTCTTCTCTTGGGACGAAGACGAACTCGATACCGGAGAGAAAGAATTTTATATTCTATCTCCTGTTTGTCTTCTCTCGAGGCGAAGACGAACCCGATGCCAGAGAAAAAGAATTTTATATTCTATCTCCTGCTTATATTCTATCTATTGCTGAAAAAGAAACTCAAAGTGGGATCTCTACTTCAAGAATCTTGGAAGATGAAACTAAGAGTGAGATCTCCACTCTGAGAATCAAAAAGATCTGGATAACCCTAACTTTATAGGATTAGTTACCCAATCTGAAGATGAATTTCTCGTTTATCGAGATGAAATTCCGACTTTGGCCCTAACTGTAGAAAGGTTTGACTAAAGAGGAATGGATGAAAGCCTTTCGTTTATCGAAAGGGAATACCAGTTTTAATCCTAACTATGGGAAAGTTTGACCAAGGTGTGATTTGAGACGACCCTAACTGTAGGAATGTTTGATCACTCGATTTGAAAATGAACCTCTCTTGTATGAAAGGAATCGAGAGGAGATTTTGACTTTGTTCCTAACTGTAGAAAGGTTTGACAAAGAAACAATTAGAGTGGATGTACAAATGGTGGTGGGAATGTTGAATTGTACAGATCACTTAGGGGGGTTTTGGTATCAAGTGGCAAGATCTTGACATGAAGGGGGTTTGATAATCGCCATGGATCAGCAGATTGAAATTTAATTATTGTGTTAGGACTTCAACAGTGGGAGTATTAAGGGCTTGAACACAGCGGGAGTTTGAATGGATTTAACAACGAAGAATTTTGTTGGACTCATCGTTAATTAATTTGATCAATGAGGGATTTTGTGATAGAGAACCGTGAATCATTAAGCACTCCACAATTACACCGTAGGAATTTTGTGAGGAAAGATTGATCATATGCAATCATTGAATCTCGTATCAACAAAAGAGTGCTCTAAAAACACGATGGGATTGGATGAGATTGATCCTGACGATTGAAACTAACCATCCAAAATATTTTTATTGATTACAGTAATATCTAATTCGCATATCTAATTAGCTAATTAAGATTATAATGATATATTTCTATCTGAATTATTTACTTAACTTATATATATTTCAATAAACGTAAGCTAAATTAAGAATATGAAAAGTAGAAGTCTTAAAAAATAAATAAAAAATAAATAAATAATCACCCCTATCTACCACTCCGTATCATATAACCACCTATGTATTTTTCCATCTATCCATCCAAAATATTATAATTTTACAGTTTTATCCTTGTATGTGTTTAATTTTGTTAAAGTTTGTGTATTAAATTTAATTTCATTGGATTTTGGTTATCAAAGTTAAATTTTGTTGCAATTTGGGTATCAAAGTTAAATATCCCAAATTATTTGTACCCTAACGTTTTTTTATTCCCAAAAGTATCCTAATGTTTTTTCACTTTCATATCCCAAAGTTCTTTTCTGCCCACAGTTCAAACTTAAACTTTGATACCATAAAGTTTAGTAAAATTAAGGTCAATAAAATTTTATTTTTGATACCCCAGTTCGAGAACTTTAACTTCAGTACCCAAAATTCAATAAACTTAGACCTATACAAGGCTAAAATCATCAAATTGTAATATTTTGTATGGAAAAGTACTTGGGGTGGTTGCATGATCATGGAATGGTAGATAAGGGTGATTTTCTAAAACTAGGATGCTTAACGAAAAATAGGACCAAATTTAAGGGTGGTTCCCTTAAAAAAAACCTTTTTAAGATCTCATTTCAAAGACATGTGAAAATGAAATGTGAAGATATAAGATCTAATTCACGAAGGCCTGAGGGTCTATGTAAATTAATAAAGATGTAAGAGTAATATGACAAAATCCTTTTAATTAAAGAAGATAAATTTTCTTAAAGAAGTCATTCAAATAATTATTTAGATTCAGCACGTAAATTTCAATGAGAAGGAAAAGAAGTAACTCCAATATAAAATTTAAATGTTTTGAGAATTCAGTGATTTGAATGTATGTCCCCTTTAGAGAAACTTGTATAAACACTCAAAACTTCTTTCATTTTCCTATCTGTGAAATAAATTTATAATGTAAAAAAGGTATGTGCACGTGCAAAGCACATACTTTATACTAATATCCTAGAAACACTCGACATCCATGCACACGGATGTTTTATTATTCTTTCTTTGAAAGGAGGATTTTGTACATTTCCACTGCCCCCTAAACATTACAACCACCTCAAAGTTAATTACAATGGGGGGTGAAAATTCGATCTCTTAGCTTTTTGCATTGGTTCTCTCATAGAACAAGATGTACCCGTGATCGGTATTGCTTGAATACTCCTGTGCTGATCCAAAGAAAGTTTGCATCATGGCCTCATCAATCATCTCAACATTTTCATCGTCAAAGCACAACCAGTGATCGTGGCTCTTGATGAGGCTCACATAGTGGCCATGATTTGGCCCACTGCCAACATGGACCACAACGGCAAAGAGTGAATACTCAGAGTCTGCATCATTGACGGAGTTGCTGAGCTTGAGCTCCATCGGAAACACAACCCGATATGATAGCTTCTTATACCGACCAAGCTGCTCAATGTACTTGAATCGCTTGAGATGAATCACTAGGATATGTGGAGGCTTCTTTATCTTCATCATCTTTTGGGCTTCCTGCAAACTACATGAAATATCCAAAAAAAAATTATCACGAGGAAAATAACTGGAAGTACAGTGATGAGAATAACAAAATACTTTGAAAAAGCATGTCAACACCGAATAGTCATTCAAGTATCTGCGAGTCTTTAACGCGATGTTTAACCATCTTACAGATATATCATGCTTTATGTTCTGACAGCGGAACATATGCAAACTTGTAAGGCTATAAAGGTATACAAGGTTTATGAAAACCCTTATAAAAAAATTAACAAATAAAAGATTTGCAGTTCAACTTCATACACATTTTGTGCATGTAAAGCATTCTTTGCAAAGGGAATACCAGAAAAACTATCTAGTATGACAGGAGAATCACGAAATTTGAAGAATATGCAATGCATGAGCAGCCATTTAAAAAAAAACCTCGTACTACTCTGAGGGTAAAATAAAAGAGTGTATGATCAATCTTATAAAGAGGTTAATGTTCAAGCACAATAATTATAGTATTATACACACTCACTTCCACTCATCAAGTATTATTTATTTATTTATTTATTTTAGCAAATGCAATCCAAACTAAACATATTAGTTTTGGCTGGTATGGATTTTGAGGGGTACAAAAGAATTATTTATAGTGTGATGTAAACATAAAATGTAAATACTAATGAACAATAAATTTAGAAGATTATGGATATAAACTAAAAATTAATAAGTAAACCAAAATATATATACTAGAAAAGTGAGTACTTGCAGAAAAGATATGAAATGCAAGGGCATGCCTACCCATTTGTCATTAAATAACAGCAAAAAAATTGGTATGAGAATACATAAGAATGTAAATTAATTTACAATGGCTTACATATAATTTACGTCCATATCTTTGATTCCTTTTTCTTTTTCTTTTTCTTTTTCTTTTTCTTTCTTTTTCTTTGCATTTTTTAGGAAATTCATATTGTTTTGTCAAACGACTGTGCTCCTAGTTGCTTTGCATGGGAGTGTAATAATGCTTCATTACATGTCATCCAGCACAAGATATACGTACAGATTCTTTATAAGTAGAGACCTTCCAGAGGCATATACAGAAAATCGGAATTTTCCTTATTATCAGTCTGATAGGATGCACGTATTGAAATGAGATGGAAAATCCATCTGTCGCGGAATTAGTAATCTGAATTTTCCCCCCTTTTTCTTTTTGCCATCTCAGTTAGGAGTTAGTAATCTGAATATAAAAACCAAGAGTGAACTTTAAGGGCATGTTCCTAAAATTGGAATTTAGAGATGAGACCCATGCAGATACCAGAAACAAAGGCCTTCTGTGACATGATAGGATGGATAGCATATGTCGGAGATGTAGCACATTACCAGAAATATTTATACTTATATATGTTCTCAAATTTTGATAGCCAAAAAGAACCGAGGAATAAGAGTTCCTAAAGGGCATTTACACCATTGTTAGGAGTATAATATAGGGAAACACCCCCTCCCCCAAAAAAACCCAACCCCCCCCCACCCACAAAAAAAAAACCCCACCTCAAAAAATACATCCCCCCCACCCCCCGAATTTTCTACGCCCACACTTAAATGTGATAGATTTCAAGCAGTAGAATGATGTATTGACCTTTCTACCCTTCTCTGAATAAACAAAATAAGGACCAGCTAGTTTCTCCATCCCTTAATCTATCAAATTCAGAGAACACTTTGTACCGTTGTTTCCCATTCTACTCAGAGTCAATGAGTATCAAGAATCTCGGATTAGGATTAAACACCAGCATCAAAACCTTGTCAACTATAAAGAAGCAACATACGCACACATCAGCAATCTGCAGATCAGTGTGCACTATATTGGGTTGCAATTTCACTGAGGAAAATTTACAAATTCTGGATGTGCATCTTTTCACATTTTGGTCAGAAACAGGTTATCTTATTCCTAGAGATCGAGAAGAAAAAGAGATCAAGTAGAAGTGAGGGGAAACATGGTGTATTATTGGTTTTAAAGATGGTGGAGAAGGCACATTTGTTTTTCTAAATAGGACCATAATTAAATCTACTTAATTAAGAAATGGAATATCGGTAGTCTTAATTAACTTTTCCTTATCAAACAGAACTTTAGAGGATATAACAGGTATATTTCCTAACAAAATAAATAAGGGGTAGAAAAATTCTGCGAGGGAGTTGAGGGATAAATTTGCAAATATCAACATTTTAGGGGGCAACTTTGCAAATACAAATGACTTTACGGTTTATATGTGCAAAAAACCCTATTTGTTAATCTTTGATTTATGTTTTTGCAAGGATGAGCTCCATTTATTTTAGAATGAATAGGGTAGAAATCCAACAAAATTAGCAGCTCTTTGCATAGATGAGTCCTGAATTGAAACAACTTGTTTTATTAGAAGTTTTACTTTAAACTGAATGATTATTTTGGTGCAAAGAAATAAAAGCGAAAACAAAAGTAAATAATCAAAAAGGAAAGATAAGAACCTGCAGCACTTGTCACAGAAGAACTTGTCCTCAGCATTTAAAGTCTCGATTGAGCTAAAGTTTTTGAGACAGCTCGTGATCGAACTGTTTTGTTCTATGTCGAGGCTCAAGTCAAAGAATGTTTCATCCCTTGCAGTGACAGTCTCACAGCGCAAACATCTTGTTTCATTGGTCAATATGCCCTACATTAAAAACATAGTGCAACATCATTAGATACTGTCATACCCTGCACGTTATACACACATCATCAAAAGGGAAGTGCTGATTACCTGAAAGTTCTTATGAACCCATGTAACAAGAGGTTCTTTATGAACACCATTGGCTTGAGGGCCGCATGTACCATTTGCAATCTTGTCTGAAGACTTATCAGCTTCAGGGGAACTTTTTGCAGCTTTTGACTCTTTCTCAAGAATATCAACAAGCACATTCAGCAAAAAATTTAGAAATTCGTGAGCATCCTGCAAAACATACACCCATATGAAAGAGATTGATCAGCTTCAGCTCCAAGACAAGTTATCTGATAACTTTATAAAAGAAGCAGCACCAACAACTAGGCAATGATTCAGGCTGCACCATTCCCAGTGTTAATTATTATATGTATATGGTGCAGAATAACGAGTGTGCAATCCTATGTCTGAGGTAAAACACATGTATAATTATATTCATCTTTCTTAGATGGCATAATTCATGAGCCAATCAATCAAAGAATCCAGAGAATACAAGATAGTGTGCAGCGTCGTGGATTCTCAAAAAAACACTACAGATATATTGCGGGTAAGCTTATCTACATATATTGCAGAGCTAGTTGTAAAAAGATGAACTTTGAAAGTTGCATGATCTGCTAGCTTTCCCACAAGACAATTGCTTAGCATTTTTATGAATTTTGCGAGAACATAAGATGGATAAAATTATCTGGTGATGAGGCTAGTGAAGTGATTATCTATAAAAGAGAAAGGTGAAGAGAAACTCTTCAATCTAAAGGATTAGAATGACTTGAACAAAAAACTGGCAAGAGTATAAGGCTCCCCATCATGCATCTGTGTCTGCAGAATAAATGGAATGCAAGTTTAGTACAATTATAAAAATAACGAGTATAATACATACTCAAGATCAAGAAATATGAAGGGGCGATCATTTTCGTTGTCTAGGATCAATTATTCGTATAGATGATGAGATGAGGATTATGTAGTTCACCTAATCAAATCACGATGGTTAAAAGTGGAGTTGATTCGAAACGGGGGAAGGGATCTATTAGAATCAGCGATCTAAATCGAATAACACGTCGTCTCACCAAAATTCATGATCTTTGGTAGGAAATTAAATTTAAAACAGCTAACGTGACCGATGAATTTTAATAAGACTTGCATCAATAATCACGTACAATTCCAATCTCAAACAATGTAATCGCAAAATTCATTATCATTGCACAAGTTCTAAAATCAATATCAATGTTTAGGAGTCACATGTTCAATTACTCTCAACTCACAAATATAATTTAAACAGTGAAATATATGATAAGAATTTAGAGATGAACTAATCATGCAATTAACTAATAAAGTAAAATTAGCAGAAAAATATTGAGTGAAATTGATACCATCGTCGTACTGAGAGTCAGATCCCAGGGAGTTGGAATCGGGTCTGATCAAAACAACCATATCCGAAGACAAACCAGATCCGAAGTCCCCTTTTTTCTGCGTTGTCTTTGAACTGAGGAAAATAGAAGACGACAACTGCTCGAGGGCGACGAACGGCGGCCGTCGGGCATCGGGACGAGAACACAGCGTCGACGGTTGAGAAAGGCACTGGTTGTCGGGGTGACTGAGGACGACGATGAGGTGCGCGGAGGCATGACTGGAGAATGAGAAGAGCAAGGGTTTTTGGGGTGCAGGGTTGTGGAGGAGGCGGGGTGTGTCTGCGGAGCAGGGATTAGTTAGGCTAGGGTTCGGAGGTTGAAGAGGGCAAAGGGTTGGTTGTTCAAATCTGGAGGGAGAGGACAGGCATCTGTAGGGAGACGGGACTGGAGACGGTGTTGTGGGGCGATGCTGAATATCGACGGATGCAGGGGGAGGTGGGGCTGATGGTGTTTGCTGGAGGAGAGATGAGGAGGCTAGTGGCGCTGGTGGCGAGGGATTAGGCGGTGGCTGCAGGGAAGGAGGAGAAGGATTGGCGCGGTTGTTTTATAAGGAAAATGAGATATGGGAGAGTTGGGTTTGTAGGAGAGAAGATCGGGAGAGTTTGGCGCTGCTTGGAGTTGAAGGGTGGTTGTCGGCAACTAGAGAGAGAGGGAGAGACAGTCGGAGTTTGTGAGAGGGGAAGGGGAGGGAGATTGGGGCAGCTGCTGGAGGAGAAGGGAAGGGGGGGTCAGCCTAGGGTTTCACACCCAAATTAGCTAACACAATATTTCATTCATTCATTCAATAATTCATAATTCTGATTACATAGCTCTTTTATAGAGCAATTACATATCCCTCAAATCACTCTAATCAATTCCCAGCAATTACATATCCCTCAAATCACTCTAATCAATTCCCTAAAATCGCTCAAATGCCAAAATTAAACCACAATTCAAAATTCAAAAATTAATCACTCTAATCAATTCCCTAAAATCGCTCAAATGCCAAAATTAAACCACAATTCAAAATTCAAAAATTCAAATTAACTACTAAAAACTAAAATAGAAAAAGTCAAATGACAAATAGAGAAAGTTGCAATTGTTGTCCTATTCTCCCTGGGGGGAGAAAAACTCGACTCCGTCGAGTTAGCTTGCAGAAGCTTGTTATCTTCAATATAGTTTGCATGCATCTTAATCTGCCATCAGTTACTTTCCTGCATCTTAAATCATTAGCTAAGTTGCATTGTAAATTCATCATCTAAAAATTATCAAAATTAACTGTAGCTTGGATGAATATATAGAAGTGGGGGTAAGTTGAAAGAACTCTCAGAAATAATAGGCTAGGGTCAGGCTTATATTAGTGGACTGCCAAAATATTGTGAACTGCTTAATCACTCAATATTGAAAATTAGAACTATGACCAAATCGATAATATAAATGTTGCCATTAATTATTTTAAGAGTTAAAAAAGTTCATAAATATCATGTCAAATCTTAAACAGCTATAAAAAATTGTATTGATCAAGTCTAAACCATCTAAAATATCAGCATTAACAGTTTTAAATTATGTCCTGACTTCATATCATACATTTCAGTTAACAATGTATTTATTCAAGTTAGATCATTGATTCCCTAATGCAAATCAAAACAAATGATGCAAATCAACTCAACTACTATGTATGAAATGCAGACTCGAACAATGCGATTAATGGCAGATGTAAACTCAACAAAGTGTCTAAAATGCATGACGTCCTCGATCAAAAGGAATAATTAGGCGTTCCTTCGTTAATATGAACAAATTTTTTATTCTAACAGTTATAGTGAGGAACGTGTAAACAAATGCATGAAAGAGGAGTGTTTCTGTGCGCTTAATATGAGAGAGAGCAAATGAAAACACACGTGCTCAAACTTGTATCCCTAATCACTATATATTCCCAAAATGGATCAGTGTATGTGGGAGTGACTGTCTGGACAATGCATAGGGGTTTGACATCTAATATGGTAGTTATTTTACTATGCTCAGTTTGGGATTCAACTTCCATATAGATATCTGAGTGACTCATTTTAGGAACCGAATCAAGAATGAGTTGGGTGTCATATTTGTCCGGGAGGACTTCGTAGGGAACATCAACAACGTTTCTAATCACTGGAGTAAGTTCAGGACAAGTTGGAGTTTCGATTTCAAGAACAACTTCAGGGAACTCCGTGATCAAATGGGTAGTTTGAGAAATAATCGGAGTGTTGTCATTACATGAAAATTCAATCAACTCCATAATTGCAGGGGTAGTTTCAGAAGAAACGGAAGTGTATGGTTTTTCAATTTTACTTTTTCGGATTTCGTTGTCAGAGTTAGATTCTATCAAATCTACGGCGTGGTTAACGGTTTCCTCAATAATAGATTTTGATTTCGTTAAAGGCGACTTATTAAGTCAAACTCTAAACGGGGTTGTACAGATGGTAGCGACGTGCTCATATCCTTAACAATTGTAACACTGAAGTATTAGGCTAAGTTTGGAGAAATCTCTCTCTGACTTCTTGCCCTTGGGATCGACTGTAGACTAGGAAGAACTAGGGTTAAATCGACTCGGAGGCTAACTAGAGGTAGTGGCACGGGAATACAGGGAGGAATGAGTTCGAAAATCCTGAGCCCTATGAGATTAGTGGGACTTGGTTTGGTCTAAATTTTGAACTAAGGCGTAAGCTCTCAAGGGTGTCTACTTCTCGAGCAAAAAGTTCGGTTTTGAGATCACTTCTCAATCCGGCTCTAAACTTTGACAAGACTTTCATTGGTGCCTCTTTCTCAATGGTGTTGCATCAAGTAAACAATTCGTCAAATTGAGCAACGTATTCTTTTGCGGATTTGGTTCCCTGAGTAAGACAATACCACTTGTCTAGCAATCTATGATAAAACGATGGCGGTAGATATTTTCGTTTCAGTTCGTCGGTCATTTTTCGCCAAGTAAAAATTGGTAATTCACCCCTAAGATGCCTTAACATTTTAAGGTTAGACCAATATTGGCTGGCGGGTCCGGTGAGTTTTATTGTTGCGAACTTTAACTTTTTGGGATTTCATCAGGGTGTACCAGTCAAAGTATCAATCCATGTTTTTCAACTAGTCCAAGAAAGCTTCTGGGTCGAGCTTACCATGAAAGATTGGTGGATCAAGCACAGCTTGAAGTGGGGAGTCGATGAACGATGTGCTCATGACCTTGACCTTGTGGAGGCGAAGTTGCAACACGCGCTTTTCATAGTTTAGCACGCGTCTCGTTGGTTACAATTTGGAAGGCCTCGTGGGTAGCTCTGCTCTCTTGGGCTACGGTATCTAAATGTGCTGCTAGTTTAGCGAATTTCTTAAGGTGTTCGGACTCTACACTGTCTGACATGCTTGACTCACTATTTGACTCACTTAACTCTCTCAATCGATAGGGTAGACCTGTGCGAGTGGGCATGCACTAATAGCTAAATGAGATGAATGTATGTACTAACAGCTAAATGAGATGATTGATTTTTTTTACCAAATAAAGACTCAACTAAAATAGAAATTTCCTAACCTAGAACCATGCTCAGATACCAAAAATGATGTAAAACGGGGAAGGTCTATTAGAATCAGCGATCTAAATCGAATAACACATCGTCTCGTCAAAATTCATGATTTTTGGCAAGAAATTAAATTTAAAACAACTAACGTGATCGATGGATTTTAACAAGACTTGCATCAATAATCACGAACAATTCCAATCTCAAACAATGTAATCGCAATATTCATTATCATTGCACAAATTCTACAATCAATATCAATGTTTAGCAGTCACATGCTCAATTACTCTCAACTCACAAACATAATTTAAGCAGTGAAATATATGATAAGAATTTGGAGATGAACTAATCATTCAATTAATTAATAAAGTGAAATTAGCAAAAAAATACTGAGTAAAATTGATACCATCATCGGACTGAGAGTCAGATCCCACGGAGTTGGAATCGGGTCTTATCAAAACGACCAGATCCGAAGACAAACCAGATCCGAAATCCCATTTTTTCTGCGTTGTCTTCGAACTGAGGAAAAGAAAAGACGGCTGCTCGAGGGCGACGAACAACGG